TAATACATTGTTTGGGCTGAGATGGCATGTTAAGGTTGGTGTGTCTTACCCCTGCAGTGCTCTCTGAGTAAGGCTAAATGTGTGCGAGTGTGTTAATGCGTGTGTCTCCCTTTTGTGAGACTGAATGTGTTTGCCCCCTTATAGCAAAGAGGATTAACCATCAGGAAAGCTCACAGTTCCCTCTGAGCTCACAGATGGGTAAAACAAGGAAACATCCTTAGAGACATGTTTTATTCACCCACGTCTCAGTTCATTTTCACCTCTCCTCTGTCCTGATGTGTGTGTGTCTGCTGGGCCTATCTGGCCCTCCCACTGTTCACCTTTCATTGCAGAGCACATGAATCAATATTAAACATAAAGCAGAAGAAAAGGATGCTGTTGGGACTGGAGTAATGGCTCATTGACAGAACGGTGAATGCAGGTGTTTACTTTGTTTATGAGCCTTAAGAGGAAAAATGCTCACAAATTGATAGCAAAGCAAGAAGTTTTAAATAGTGTTAAAGGAGGAATGGTCAAGGGAGCTTGTTATGCATTAATATTATTGTTATTACTATTGAATATCAGCTCCCTCTGCTGGCCAATTCCTAATTCTAAGGGGTCTAATGGAATCACATTTTTGCTTTATTCACTAAGACCACATTTTTTCTGAGAATTGACATTTAGTGAAAGATCAAAATAAAAGACCTTCAGTAGATCATCATTAGGAATGATAATAAATGAAAAACAGTAAACTGTATTATTCCGATATGCAACATTTGATTACTGTAATGTTTCTCATTTTACGTGCTGATTTGAAAATTATACATGTTCCATTCACATATACCCACATGTTTTTGTTAAGCATTACTTTCACATGCTCAATATTAGAGGATCAGCTCGTAAATTCTCATTTCCTGTGCTGAATTTATTTTGGGAGGGCAGAAAAGAAGGCAGCGCTATACGGGCTGAATATTCCCTCCATTCACTGAAAATGATTGACAGAAAGATTGTAGGTTATACTCACAGCTGCAGCTGTTGGCTGTTAGCTTGTATCACTGCGACTGAAAACATTACCACATCTTCTCATACCATGCACATGTGCCCATATCACAGCATCATTTGGAGGAAAACTTAATATGCAGATACAGTATGTGTGTGTGTTTAAGCCAAGATCAGATTGATCTGGACATTGACATTACAAAAAACCAATGACATAAGAAATTACTGATACAAGGAAACCCATTTGTTTCTGGAAATAATCCTACTAATAAGCCATTGTCACAGTGGATGACTTTCTATCTGTCTATAATTGTTTAAAACACTTGCCGTGATCTCAGAAATATTTTACAGTGGGCTGCCAAATATACAGACTTTGTTTTGCGTCAATATCCTATGTGATACCGCTACTCCTTCAAAATAGATAAAAAACTCTTTTTAGTGTGGCAGATGTATGTTACACCATTCATTTTTTTTTCTGTATGGGTTCCTCACAGATGGCTCTCACAAGGAAATCTCGCAGTGACCTTCCCAAAATTGTTATTACTGAGCTTCATATATCACTCTGACAGAATATTTAAGATGGAACATTTTTGCTTTGATGGGTAATGCATGGCAGAGCACTTTTGGCATTAGCCGTGTTATAAATGCTAAGTTCGTCTTTAAGCTCACACACATTGGCCCAGATTTGCTCTCGCTTTAACCGGTCGCGAACTCCTTTTTCACATAAAAAAGTTACCGTTCATATTTACTAATGGGAAACTGCGATATGATAACACCTTAAAGTCGTGGAAACAGTGATAATTCTGTTTGGCACCGTTGGATATGGATTTATGGGATAGATTGGTTTCCCTTCTAGAGAGCAAATTTGCAGGCCTACATCATTTGATAAATCACATGGACATGTTCACCACCTTTTGAACGCTGCATCTCAGATTCACTTTGCACCATTATTTATCACAGAGCAAAAGCGTGTTTGTGCCTGACATGAATCCATACGTTTTTGTATTCAGGGGACACAGTTGTTGAGCAATACTGATGGGACAATAGATGGAATGAAAGAGGCGGTTCTCCCTTTAAGTGAATACATTTGAAATACCACAGAGAGATCTTAGCTTAAGAACTACGATGTGAAGTGATAGGAAAAAAATGAAAGGTTTGAACTGCTATTTCTAGGAAATCCATTTAAACGTTTTAGTTTGTTTTTATTTTTTTCCTACCACCTTGTGGCACTAAACCATTCCATTAGTAGTTAGCAGTGAATGCTATCATTCATATGACTTTAATGGGCTGAGGCTGTTCCCAATCATTCTGGCTCCAACTCCTCACTTCAGAAATCTTGAATGCAGATATTTGCTTTGGCTTTGAGCATTGTCCATGTTTGTCCTCGGATGGCAAGAAAGCTGATTCAGAGGGATTTTCCTAATTGGATTAAACATTTTATTCCCAAAGAATACACCTTTGCGCGGTTAAAAATACATCATGAAAGCATCTGTTTGCTTCCCTGGCTTCATCAATGGCATCATTTTGCTCAAAGAAAGGCGAGTTCACAGTTTGCAAGAATAACTTCAAAGATCTTTCAGATCCCCCCAAAAATCTATACTCTATATATTTACCACAGTGCACTGTACCATGACATGCATGTCAGTGCACTGTACCATGAGAGAATGTGCACAATGCAGCAGGCTCATTCATGTTGTCCTACGATGGGTGGATGGATGGACAGACCTTTTAACCATATCATCATCATCATCATCATCTGTGGGTCACAGATGAAGCCTTTTTATTTCATGTATCTTGAAAATAAATTATTTATTTTTGGTGAGTCTTTTTAATTTCATGTCTTGGACATTTGTTGCTTTTCAAAGTGTTCTTAAATCTTTTTGATTGTGTTACACCTGCAAATCAAATTTCAATTATTACTTAAAATGTATCTCAGGCAGCCTTTCCAGAGCAACAACAAATTCCTGTGCATGCGCTCAGTGATGCATGTGTGTTGCATTTCACAAATGTGGAGGGAGTCACACAGCAAACAGAAAGTAAATAAACCTCTATGTGTTATCTCTTTGTATCTCTTTGCAAGAATATTCATGGGTCACTAATGGTAAAACAATCAATCTTTTATAGGATCATGTGGTGTATTTGAAAACACAGAGTTTTTAGACCAAACTGCAACAATGCTGCACAAGAACTGTTGCATTTTGGGAAGAGCAACCATCCAATATGATCTTAACCCTTGCCAAGCAGATTTGATGCCAGATTCTCCATTGTGTCTCAACATTTCCTGTCTGGACTGGTGTGTACTGAATGATACAGTCAGTGTAACAGTATCTAGTGATGACAGACATTCATACTTAATGATATTAAAGTCAGACTTTTACATAATAAATAGCACTGCTCTGTATCTTAAGAAGCCACTGCAAATGTTACAAACGGAAGGTCCATTTTCATTTTAAACGGTTAAACTGGTTGTATGAAAGCACAGTGAAATTCCTTACTCTTTTGATCAATAAAGTCAAGACAGATTAAGATTTTTCACCTCAATACATTATTTTAGCTGACATTTACATTTCATCATGACATCACCCTCTAGTGGTTATGATTATTATGATAGATGCTAAATATGTGAGGTTCTTAAAGAGCCACAAATTCAGCTTAAGTAGAATGAGTCATGGCAGTAGAGGATAACAAAACTGCCTTTGTCCACATTTAATCATTTATTATTCTCACTGACAGTTTATGTACCACGGATTCATTCCAAACTATCTAAATGTATTAAACTTCCCCACAAACACGTCTGAGTATTTGAAATAGAAATTGTATTTCAACAACAACAAAAAATCCAACATTATTATTGAATAGGAAAAGAAACAAACTTTCTTGTGTATGCTTTTGGCCTTAAAACTGTACTTATTTTGTTCTCTTCCTGTTCCCATAACTGTTACTGAAGCTGCCAAAGTCACTGTACAGCTTCTTTGAGATTTATGACTTTCTGGAGCCCTGATATCTCTGTGGTCATATTTTGATGGGTGTGATAAAACCAGGCCATAAAGCAGTGTCAGCTCTCTATAACCACAGCTGGTGTTATTCACCAGAGGACTACTTTGAAGTTCCACAGACAATTAGAAAAAGTCTTTGGGATCCATGTTGTGACTGACAGGCACGCAGCACTCCTTTCAGCCACCATCAGGTTCAGAAATTCTCATGTGCCCCGATAGTTCACATAATTGTGAAATAGGACAGGACCTGTCAGGTATAACAATTAATGCTGTGTATTTGCAATATTGTGAGTGATGCAGGCACACACCCATAGTTCCATGTCCTCCCAAAAGTCTGCATTAATTCTAACATATTGAAAAAGTCTTCTAATTCATTTTTCAATTGACCCTGTTGATTTAATTTTAAAAAGCCATAAAGCACAACACTGTGACAGAATCATTACCCAGATTTTGTCTCTGTATGTACGTATCATGCATGAAAAGGCCCTGTTGTTTTTCAGGTCAACACTTCTGGGAGCAGACACTGGCCTTGTTTAAACCCGATAGGGCAGGTAGTCAAAACACTGTGATGGTCTGTGAAAATCTGATTTGGGTAGGAACATCAACAAATACACGATTGGTTCCAATCATAATACGTGGTGCTGAACTATTGGACTGCAGCTTCACTGATGGGTAAATAAAACAAATGCTTAGAAGAGGTGCCAAACATTGAAAAACTTCTGTTACATAGGAGAGCTCACTGTGTGTGCATGAAAAAAGAAGATTATCCTTTAGAGAATAACGGATTCCTGTTGTTGTGTTTTCTTTTCTGTAAGGTAATCTACTGATGATTTAGTGATATGCATCTAAGACTAAGTAGTTTCAAATTTGACTCTTGAAATTGAAAAATGAGGGACATAAATGATAGTCATTTCTCAAGTATTTGACAGTGTTTAAGCAACAAAAAGTTACTCATATGTGAAAAAATCATAGTCACAGATACTTTTCACAAAACAGCGTGTATTTTAAAGTGACAATTTTTTTTCTGCATACCTTAGAACATTAAGGATGATCCGTTTTTAACCAGTAGTTACTTGAGTGAACACTGGATGGCATTGTTGCTGTTTAGGAACGCTGCAAACTGCAGCAGGGCTTCAGTTCTCTTCCGCAGGTATCAACCACGACACAAGTTGCACTGACATAGGACTTAGAAATATAAATATTTATTTATTACTTAATGAATAATGTCTCAATGTTTTCGTTTCAGTTTGTCATACTATTAATACATCCAATCATGTTCAACAACGAGGAGATTCATGAAACTACTTTTTCAAAGTTGCATAGCAGCAAAAGTGATCAAACACATTTCAACATGCAAAACTCTTTATATCTACTGAATCTGTGGGAGAGGTGAAATGATTATTATAATAAACAAGTGCTGCATGGAAGTGCTGTTTTAGAAAGGTCACTGAACTCACATAAATGTGAAATTTCTGGCCCTTCACAAATGGCAAGTCAGAGAGTTTTCTATGTTATGTTTAAAACATTAATATGCTTTCAAGGAGCTACTCCTTGGTCAATAAAACATCCAAACAGGACTAGTTGATTCTTTTATCATCTCCAGAAAGGGTAACGGTTCTATTTACACACTTCATGGAGTCGTGCTGCTGACATCCTGGAAAAACGGACAAGCTTGATTTTCCAGTTTAGCTTAAGCACACCCTGTACTGTACCTGTATCCCCTGACCCTCAAAGAAGAACATAGCTGTCACTGTTGATTTGAGCTTAATGAACTGCAGGACTTTATCTTTGATCAACAGCGAACATATTGCAAAGTGTTTATATCAACAATGCTTCCAGATAAATGTTGAGTTTACGACGTCAATACAAGAAACTGGAGGCAGATTGTGCTGTCAGCAGCCTTGTGTCTGCTGGCTGTCTTTATGCTTTATACACAACGTTCCCATTACTTCATGCCGGCACTTCTCTGAGGTCATTCCTCATTTTATGCATGCTCCATGACTTAAATAATATTGACACATGTCTCATTCAAACGATGGAAAAATTCCAAATAATTAATGTGTTGATACTGAGATCCAAAATATGTTGGACCATGTTGTTTTAACTCAAAACTTTAACATTCCCCATGATCTTTTCATTTCATAAATGTCTCGATGAAAACACATTATTCTTTTAACATGACTTAAATCTTTGCCTCTGTAAAATTAAATAGATTAAAGAAAAAAATATTGAAAGCGATCAGACCTTGAAATGTAAATGAGGCTAATGACTACTTGTAAAACTATCTCTTTGTCTAATTAGCATAAAGACAAAAAAAAAACAGAAATTGACTTTAAAAAATGGCTTTGTAGCTCTCTGAATACAGATCTCTATCCATTATATTCAGTTTTAATTTAAAATTAATGTTAAAGTGCGTGCACTGTGCAAAAAAAGTCTGTCCTCATTAAATGCAGCTCCTGTGGCAGACAACGCGGGGAAAAAAAAAGATGAGAGGGGTTTTCAGAAAATGCAGGAATTTCGGTCTTGCTGAAGCAGCAGTGTCAGTGGCCTATCCTTGTTTGTGACCTCTGTCAGATGACAGTAAAGGTCTCCAGTAATCAACAGTGTTGGTGAGGAGCTCTCACTGAGCTGTCTTTTTCAATAGCACTCACTTCACAACCTCTTGAAAATAACAAATGTTCCCCATATCAGTTCTTGCCTCCCTCCTAATTGTTTTCTGTGCCCTCTTCACCGTGTCAGTTCAGCATTTACAGTACCTTGTGCGTTACTATCGTGTTATTGACGCTGGTTTCTTTCAACAGGTAAGCAAGAACTTTGGAAACAAAAGGAAAAAAAAAGGGAAGTGATGATCTCAGTTGGAATAAAGGCTCAGGCAAAAAAGCGTAGTATTTTCATAGGCAGCATCTCCAGGGAGGGCAGCAACAGCAGCACAGCTGTCGAATCGGGTTCTTTTTCTTATACCGAGCGGCCATCTTAAACTTCTCATTAGTTACAGCCACGTAATCTTGAGTCCTCTCAACATTACTTTGGATGTGCTCGATGTAGGCCCCTTGTTCCTCCACCAGCATGAAGATATCCACGAAGAGATCCCGCAGCTCCCTCATATTGTTCTCCAACTTAATCAGCTCCTGTTAGTGGGAAACATTTATTTAATATAAAACATAAAATCCTGGACAGTACTCTGATGATGCTGAATGTGTACATATATTGAATCAGGTGGTTTATTTTTGTTTGTTTTTAACAAATTGTTTGTGTTACTTTCACCTTGTGTCGCTGTTCAATCTCAGATAGTTGTGACCGGGTTATTCTTTCATCATTCAGCAGGTTCTCATTGAAGACCTCCCATTTTCCTGTTTCAAACATCTCATTCACCTCCTCCTCTGTAACATCCCGCCCCGACACCTCCACCTGCCGAATAATGAACTGCTTACAGCGCTCCTGCTTGGTCAGCAGACCCTCATTATACCGACGCATCACCTGGAAGTAATTATAGTTTGAAGAGAGAATGAGAAGGGAGAGAGATGGGAAAACACAAATTAAAAATATATTTCACTCCCATTCTCTATAGCATAAACGTGATTTATTTTGGGTTTTCTCCAGCCTGGTGCTATGCATTCACTCTACAACACTTTGTGATGAAGAAAGACATCAACTACAGAGTTTAGACTGAATCTGTGACCACTATCAGTTCCAAGAATAAGTGATCCAACATACATTTAAATTTAAAGATTTGTTCCTCCTGTCACTTATGTATAAATACAGCTTTCTGTTAGAAAAAACAAAACAAAAAAAATTCACTATAAATTTAAAAATCGAAAAACAAAACAGGGCAGTTCCGAGCTTAAAAAGCACAGAAGGTTCTTTCCGACCTGCTGGAATTTGAGGTGCAGCGCTGCGTGCTGTGAGTGCTGTATCCGTGTTGTAACTGCAGCGGGCCCCTGCTGCTCCTCAGTTTTTTGGACCTGTTTTGAAAGCGCATCTAAACGACGGTGGAGACTCTCGGCCTGCAGCTTGATGTCTCGGGTTATGCTGCTCTCTTTCTTCATCACGCTGAATCGACGCATGCTCGCAGCCAGGGTCTTCTGCTGCTGAGTGAACTTGAGCACCTGATGAAAAATTGATAGACTTTTGGAATACTTAACTTGAAACCATAAATGAAAGTGCGTAAACTAATATCTTCTGAAAGTTTAACAATCCAGTATGGAATTGTATCATTATTAATACAATGTGAAAAATAAAAAGAAATGGAAATCAAGTCAGTGCAATTAATTTAATCGTCTTACCTCTGTTTCCAGTTCTGAGATATCATCTCTGATTTTTTGGGCATCAGATAGGAAATTCTCAATGACCGGCTCCTCCTCAAACACTACAGCTTGTGGTGTTACGTTTTCAACCGCCAAACAGTCAACATTATCACTCTCCTCTGGGAAAACATTGGTGTGGTCGGTTTGAGCCTCAGCAGAGCCCCGAGCCCTCCGCTGGAGCTCCTCCAGTCGGTCTCTCATTGTGGAAGTGCCTTCTCCTCAGGACACGCTGTTGTACATACTGATCTTGTCAATATAGATGACACAAAACTGAAAAAAATAAGGACAAATTTAACAAATGTCCCTTCGAACACCGAAAGAAAAAGGTAGGAAATAAGTCAGAGTCCAATAAGGCAACGATGCCAAAGGCATACTTTTGCTATTTTAAAGGAAATTATTCATTTTACCACCAAAATTAAATGAGATTGTCAGCGTTCTGTGCTCAAGTTCTGTAACATGTTTGCTGAACTTCACTTTGAAAGTGTGTTTCACATAAATGAAATGAATAAACAAATAGGCAAAAGAGTATATTGTAAAAAGTATCTGTCCAGCTCACGCCACAAAAAGGACCATGGCTAAAAGTACAATGCTGAGCTCCTCCATCCATTCACTCCTCCCTGTTTATTTCGAAGAGTTTGTGGCTTGTTTAACAAAAGCACCTGATAATGACGACGTCTCTGATGGGGAAACATGAGAATGAGTCAGATCTTCCTTTGGTTGTTATATACATATATCACAGGATACTTCAGAGGAAACCAGTTTGAGCCCATTGAGAAGTTTGAACTAAGCCTTTTTCATTGGAGCACTGGTTGGATTTAAAATCCCACCAAGCCCTGTGCAAAATACTTGAGCCTATAGTGAAGAGTGTGCTCTGCAATGTGACTTTTTCTGAGAATCTGTCAAAAAAAAGTCAGTAATTAATAATTATGTCTGGTTTTAGTTGCCAAAGTAAAGCTCAAAAGAAAAAAATAATGTTACAAGCAGAGTTTATCTGCTTGACGATCAGTGACATCAGTCAAACTGACTTGAGTTAATTTTCCCATGAGAACTGAGTTGTTTATGTTTATGGGCAAACTCAAGAAGATTGCCCCTGATGAGCCCAGAAAAAAAGTAGCCTAGATTGTCACAATATTTAGATAATTAAGTATATCTAAATAAAACTCATACAAATTCCCACATACACATATATGATTTTCCCCCCATTTTATAAGACAACTTCTTTAAAATGCTGCCAAGAACTGAACCTGTGATTAAAATGTTAAATACAGATTTTCTGGAAGTCACTTTTGCATTCAACCAATAACTCTTTTGCATTCAAACACGCATCTAAAACTTGTTAACTGCCTTAACAACGCAGGGATTTGAATGGAGCGATAGGACGAGAATATTTTGTAAAGTTGTGATTGTGTTCGGGGACAAGGCATTTAGACGTTGAGAAACAACAGCATTTTGAATCATACATAGTCTCATTTCTGGATCAATTTCAGACAGAAAATGTTTACGTGTGTGTGTGCTCTAGCAATTGTAAACGTGCTATTACTCAAATAATGTAAAATACATTTTTAGGCTGAACTATCGCTTTCTTGCTCTCTCCGCCTGCTCAACACAGAAAGCTGATTAGAAAATTGCTGAGGGGATTTAGGTGCACATTCTGCACTGTTTAGCCTAAAAACCTGGAAAAAAGTGGAGCATGGTTCAAGGAGTCCAGTCGCTCTGTGTGATAGACTGCTTTGTTCCCTAAAACAAGCAAATATTTCTTCCTGCCGTGTACCCGCTCTTTTGTCTGTGTTCCAGAAGGAAACCTGTTGTTGATAGTTTCTTATTTCATGCAGGTGCAAGAGCAGAAGCGTCTAGATGTTGCAATTTATCATTTGTTTAACAAGTCTTTGCCTTTTAATCGAATCCAATGGAATTTTTATCTTAAAATACATTTAGAAAGAGCAAATCGTCCTACTTCATCATGTAATGATGAGAGGTTTAGTTCAAATGGAACGTTTCTTGAACTTTTTAATATAAATGCTCCACAAAACAGAAAACTAAAACACAAATCAAGTCTAATTAGTTTAGGTTCGGTTTCATTATGCTTGACCTACAATCTAAAACCTGGTCTGCCTTTCGAAAAACACTTAAATTATAACCAGTCATTTGCACTGAAATGAGGATTTTACCTTAAAGTTGTTTTTAGTCCATCAGAGGCTGGACGTCAAGTTCAGAGCCTGTCTGTTGTCGCACCCTTAGCAATCCCTAACTTTACCTCTTGCTGTCCCGCTGTGAGTTAAGGATGTTGATACTCCACAACTGTTTTGCCAGCAGCTGTTTATGCTGGGAGCTGGGAGTTCTGAGGAAGTCTGGTCAAGTCTGTTTCAAGCTCCTCCCTTCTTTAGAAAAAGACCTGAAAAGGCCCAATGCGAACACAGTAATGCTGAGGCCTGTTTGCTAATAGAATGAAATAGGAGGCGATGTTATTAAGCAAATGAAAAGGGAGAGAAAGCACAAGAGCGGAGTGAACACATAAAACCCTGCCCTGGGGCTTATTCCTGAACAGGAAAATGGAGAAAAGCAAATAAAAGTGCATTGTATACATGACTCAGGCCAAACAATGGCGAGTGTGGTTAGGGTGTCAACCTGAGTGTAGAGTTTCTGATCTGTCAACTTTATTTCTGTGTGATGTGTCTTGGTTCCTGAGGAAAGTCCTCTTGCTCTGTGGGCAAATATGCTGAATACATTTAAAAGATTCTTACCGACAGGCTCTCTAAATCCAGGAATCCGCACAGGGAGAGAGCCACTTAATCTGCTCTTTGTGCTCCACCATGTTGTTTTTCTGGTTTTAGAGTCAGGAGTATAGCTCAAGTGTATTGTAAAAAAAAAAAAAAGAAATTGTAACCCAAGTCTTTTACTGATGAGCAACCTTAGGGTGTATGTGAGGTTTTCTGTGTTAAAATATTTCCATTGTCCTTGGAGGTTTTATTTCTACCTAAAATGAGGCTGTTTAGGACAGTTTAAATAAAATAAATGAGTGAATCACCACAGCACAAACAGGAAGGTTATCTCAAGAAGGCTTATGTCATTATAAGCAAATAGTTCAATCAGCTGGCAGTAAACTACCTCAGAAACTGAAAACAGGCTTTAATGATATGACAGCAACTCAAATTACCTATTATTATGGCTCCTTATAACACTGCAGCAGTGTGATAACTGTAACTCCACAGACTTAAAAACAGCACATGATGCGAAAAAATCACTTTTCTGTCAGCATTATAAGGTAGAAGCCAATACGCTGCAGCTAAACCTGTATGATCTTTTATGTTTACTTTATTTTCTTTGAATTGCTAACCAACCGTTTCTGCCAAATATGATCCCACCTTAACATCTCTGATTGTTACTGCCTTGTTCTAAATGTTATTGAACCAAAACACTGAGAAAGCAATACCGACTAAGCATGCCTACGTGTCTGTCAAGGCCGTCTGCTCTGCGCTGGCTGAGGAACAACATGCCCCCACAGAGTGATTCCATTTAGTTTTTCCTTTCACTCATAAAAAGGAGTTCTGTTAGGCTAAACAGCCTAATTCAGTCATACTGTAAATATCTACAAGCAATGCAAAGTTCAGACCAAGTAGATTTGTGGCTAAAATAAATATGTTGTTCAGAGCAAAATTAAATATTGAAATGTGAAAAGATGTACCTTTTTGTCGAGGAATTCATTATCTATGACAAGAAAATAATCTGAATGAAAGTAAATTAAGCAAAAATACGTCTGATTTAAACCAGAGTGAATCTATCTTACATTTCAGGACATGTGCATGGGCCGACTCAGTAATTTAAATCACAGATTTCTTTGCTTAGTGTGCAAGTACCTGAGACATGAAAAGGTCATCATGTCGTGTTCCTTCCTCAATGGGATGAGATTCTTGAAATTATGCTATCATGTGCTGCTAACATTGAAGATATATATTTTAAGCGCTTCCACTTTAATATTGTGAGACACTGTCTCACTAAGTGCTCTTTATGAAGCTGTTATAGCACTTGTTGCAAATCAAATGGTTTACAATGATTTTATATTAGTTTTATATTAGTAAAATTGAAATGAAATGAAATTTATATTACATTTCTAGCTTTTTGTTGCCATTGTCTGAAATTTTCCAACTTGCTGGCATCAAATTTAAGATATGCTAACAATATTTATAAAATTGTGACTCAAATCCTTCCAATTTCAATGTATTTTTTTAATTTTGTCAGACAAAGTTGTGTTTTTTTAGATATTTTCTGGTTTTTACTCATCAATTATGTACATATTTAAATATATACAGTATATACAATAAACAATAAATGGATTCCATATTGGGAAGGATAATGATTTTATTCTCAGAAAATCCTTTTGTTGTTATAAAAAACTGTATAGTTGTTTCATCTCTTAAATTCTACCATTTGTGCGTCCTAAAAACGTGTGTCCTGGTGTTTTCATGTATGTGAAAGATGTAGGGCAGCGGATGAGCGCAATTAACAGGTGGAATTTCAACAAGAGCATTCAACGCTGAAGATGGGAAGTGCAGAGGAAATGAACTGATGTAGGCACTGAACTGGAATATCCCCCTGGTGTCATATATCAAATAAGATCATTTTGAAAGGGAATGTCAGGATATCTTGGTCACTGTATGAAGGGAGGTTTTTGTCACAATAAAGCTGCTGGAGGGCTTTCTGCCTTTTCTGAGCCAAGGGGATGTCAGTAGCAGTGCTTTGATTTCTGAGAAAGAGACAAATGAAGGGATAAAGAAAGTTACTCCTTCGAGTCAGAACCTTGAGCGTGAAAGAGATAAATATGTTGTCTGTTTTAGGGGGACAGGCAAAAGGATATATGTTATAACATAAAAGGGTATTGATGCTGAACTTTTTTAAACTCACAATGAATATAAACATTTAGCAAAAAATTACAGTGTGACATTACATTTTAAAAAAGCATCAAAGTTCTTTAATGAAAGCAAAGATCAAATATTTAGGGGAATTTTATATTGTATGGACATTCCTACAATTAATAAGTTTAATTTAAAAAATCTCAGAACAAACACCTGGAATCACAGGAAACCCTCATCAAAGAGAATGGCAGGACAATATACAGCTTTTAAAAGAAGGCCAGTATTAGCGCGATATATGGGTCATTCACAGGGAGAAAGAATATGGAAGGGAGATAAATGAGGAAGGTGAATGAGATGGTCAAGGAGGGCAAGGATAATGAGGTCAAAACCATCGTCATTAAGCCAATCGGTAAGATTGATACAGGGGTCGGCGGCTTTAACTACTAAAATGAGACAATCAGTGACCTGGAAATTACATGTTCCCCTTGGGATCTGTATCATATTGTGCCTTGAGTCATTCAGGTTTTAATTTACACTTGAGCTTAGACTTTAATTGCTAACTGTGCAAAAAAATATCTTTATTACAGAAAAATTATTGGTGTAAAAATGATTGCTTTTTAAACTCCATGGCATGCAGAAAGTAAAAAAATATTAAATTATGAAAATGACTTACTCTTACTCTTACCTACTCTTTATAACTAAATATTCAACGCCCCTATTCATATTCCCATTCTAACAAATAATAGTGTGAACAACTGTATGTTGGTCCAATTCAAGAGCCTCTCCAACAAGTTGTAAAAATATGAAAAAATAAATAAATAAACCCTTTGTTTTTCTGCAGATTACAAGATCTTTTGAGTGAGTTCACACAGGTGGCTTAAAACTCTATATGGAACGTTAGGACTTATCTGGAGACTTTCTAAGTAGATTTAGATAAGAATGTACACAAGTAAAGTTTGAAGAAATCTTTTAACAATCATTGTCAATCCTTTAACCATAAACTTTACCAATTATTGTTATTCAGCAAATGTGTGGTAAAAGGTAATAATGTGATGCATGTCCATGTGAGGAGAAGAGAAAACACAGTGTCTGTGTTTTAGTGCATGTGCAGTGTTCAATTTTACATTCATTTTTCTCCACGTTTGCCACAAAAGAGACTGCATTGTTAGAAATGAGCAAACATCAGAAACTGCCACATGTCTGTAAATAAACATTTTATCGCTGTGCTCTGATGGAAAGAAACCTTGATTAAACTCCTCTGAGGTGTGTGCAAAGTAATGAAATGTATGTCCTCTGATGATTCTAACTCGTGTACAATGCAATTTAATCTACATTTGTTGCTCACGTGTGCTCGTTGCGACAGCTGAACCTTGCAGATAATATGTACTAAGATGGAAAATAAGCCAATAATTCCACATGGCTTCATACTGCAAAAAGGCTTAAAAGGTTCATTTTATTTATTTTTCTGTACCAAAAGGCTGTGTTCCGTATAGTTATTGCACCACATCTATACCCATGTGTATTGCCATAGGCTAATGTTCTGTCTTGTTTTTAAAAAAAAGCCAGGTCTGGATGTAGTTTTTCCTTCCACATCTCTGTCATCTTCCTTAGCTTTTCCTTGTTTTTGTTTTTTTTCCCTCTCCTGGAGCACCGACACTTTCTCTTTCATCTCATGTCAATATAAACCTCAGAATCCAACCCATATAGGGGCTATCCCTAAAGTGTCCAGAATAATTGTTGAGAATCTTTTCTGCAATTCTATTCCAGCTCATTCCTAGAAAAGTTTTAGCTAGGCAGGAGTTTATCCTAGCTATGACTGAGTGAGAGGTGTGGTACACCCCGGTTAGGTCACCAGTCCATCACAGGGCCACATAAGTGTGGGGTCAACAATTAATCTAACATGCATATTATTGGATGGAGGGGAGTGCCCACACATACTTAGTGAGAACATGCAAATTTAAGCTTTATACTGAGATTTAAATTGTGAACCCTTGTGCCGTGAAGCATCGATTTAGTTGAATTTGGTTCTACCAGAGGTAAACATTTGAGATGCCAAAGGTTAAGAACTTGGAAAATGCCATACATGAAATTTCAAAGGTGAGATAAAATAGGTGAGGAGTCCATCTTTCTGATAAGCTGTTGTTGCCTTTCAGCTTTTCCCATCGGGGGTCGCCACAGCGTGTCAGCCTGGACTCGCATGGTAGGTTTGGCGGGATAAATGCAACACAATCCTCATATTTATCCAGGCTTGGGACCTGCACAATCAGGACACCATTTCAAGCTGCATTGCAGGCAACTGGGGGTCTTTCCCATCTCGCCATGTAATCTGGGATCAAACCACCAACCGCCTACTGGCAGCCAGCTGCTCTTACTCCTGAGCTACAGTCGCCCTCATTTAATTTAACATCTATCAAACAAACTATGATCATCAGAAATGACAGTTCGTTCTTTGTGTCCATTTTACATCTTCA